CTGGTTTGCTCAATGTGTGCTCCATCACTCGAGCCATGCCTCTAGCCTGGCTTCTTGCAGGTTGTTTTGGAGATACAAATCTTATGCCCAGGCTATCTTTGAGCCTTGATCCTCAGATCTCAGCCTCCTGAGTAGCTGGGATTACAGGGGTGAGCCACCGGTACCTGGAAGGCAAGGGGCTTTTTATGTGCCATCAGCCATCCCTCCCTCAGCCTGGCCATCCCTGTGGTCCTCACCCCATTTATGGATGAAGAAACTGAGGCTCAGAGAAGGAAGGGACACAGTCTGCGGCTGGGAAGTGGAGGTATACAGGAGAGATCCCCAGAGAGGGCTCGTGTCCTCTATGAGCAAGGCTTGGAAAGCAACCATGGCACATACAGTGGAAGGGACTTCTCAAGCTGCCAACCAGCTAACAGAAAACTAGGCTCTGTCCTAGTGGCTCTGAAAAAAGTTGCAAGGATAGGAAAGCATGAGATGATTCCACAGGTCCAGGTAATGGTGTGCAATTAGCCCAAGTGGCCCCAAAGGGAGATGAGAAATGTTGGCCAAGAAAGGTGAGAATGTTGGGTATCGGGACAGTTGGCATAGCATATACAAAGGACCTGGGGTTGCACAGGGAGAGCCATAAGGTCCATGGGAGGACAGCTGACCGAGAGAGCCTCGTGGGACCTAGTGGGCCTTGCTGGGAGGCAAAAGGAAGGAGAGGTGGGAGGTGATGGCCTTCTGGGCCGTGCTGCGCCTTCCCAGTGCAGAGCCATCCTGGCCGGTCCTTGCCCAGACCCGATGGGCTCCTGGGCACCCGCGGGCGCTGGGGGGCGGCCGGCCCGGCCCAGGCTGGCACGGGGCTTCTCCCGCAGCTCTCCGGAAGGCCTGCGCGAGGGACCGGGGGCTCTGGGCCCGCTTCCAGTGCTCAGTGCCCGGGCGGGCACTGACGTACCTGCTGCTGCCTTGCACGCTGCCCTTCGAGTATGTCTACTTCCGGAGCAGGAGGTGAGGCTCAGCGGGGACCGGCGGGCCTGGGCCAGGCACTCGGGGTGGGCAGAGCTGGCGGGGCGCGGCTGCCCTCCCCGGACGACCGGGGCTGGCTGCCCGGCGTCCGGCCGGCCCCACCAGTGGGCGGGGCGGATGGGGCGGGGCACAGCCACTGTGATTGGCCGTGGTGGGTGGGGCAGGGCGGGGCATAGCCACTGTGATTGGCCTGCGGGGGCGGGGCGGGGTGGCACAGCTGCTGTGATTGGCCATAGTGGGTGGGGCGGGGCTACTGTGTTCAGGACCGGCCAGCACTCTGCTCCTGCCCCCTTCCCTGGCCTTTGATCCCGGCCTCCACTCAGCAGAGCCTCAGAGAGGAAGCTCTGGTCCTCGGGTAACTTGGGACCAGGGTTGTTGTGAGGCCGGGGCGGCTCTCTGGGCCACATTTGTCTTTTCTGTGAAGCAGGGTGCGCCCTACAGAGTCGCCTGGCTGTGGCTAGCTTGTTGGTTCATGGACCTCTGGCCTTTCCCTGTCCGCCATGGGTGATGGCCGGACCCCTGGGGCCATGCGCTGGCCGGGAACAGCGGGACCGAGGCCGGTGACCGGCTTCACGGAGCCCACAGCCCACACCAGTCCTACCGTCACTCGCTCGGCCTCAGCTTCTCCCACTGATGATGCCTCCCGCAGGGCCGCCTGGCCGGGCATGGCTGCCCAGAGGAGATGATGTGTGAGCTTCCAGCGGAGGGCTGGGCCAGACTCCATTAGGCAAAGGAGAAGAGGGAGCAGCACTGCAGGAAGCTGGTGCAGTCCGTGCAAGGGTCCTCAGGCAGAAGGGCAGAGGGCCATTCCAGGGCCAGAAAGGGGAGGTGGTGTGGCTGGAGACAGTGGCCGGTGCGCTGTACCAGATGGCCAGATGGTCTGGACACCCAGGACCCTGCAGCCATTGGGTGTGTCTATGTCCTGATAGGAGGGATACAGTGAAGTGTCAGACAGAGAGGAGTCCCAGGGACAGCTCTGTGCACACACACACACACACACACACACACAGAGTTCTCTAGATGGAACTTTGTGGCAGTGAACCACAGGTCTCGGTCCTGGTCCGTGCTGAGTTAATGGTGTGGTCAGCCGTGGTCTCCCAGGCTGGGAGAGCTTTATGCTGAGGATTCTCCTTGTGCGTCAGGCTGCTTGCTGAGGCCTCAGGGTGAGATGAAAAAGAATACGTGTAAGATCTAGTCTTTGCAGAGTTGGCCCAGACTCCAGGGGCATTCACTCTGGGTGTTTCCATGGCTGCAGGTGGAGGTTGCATTAGCAAGGGAGATGACGGTTGTGTCATAGTTCAGAGGTGTCCCTTCCCAGGCACAGTGGCATGAGGGAGCTCTGGATGTCTAGCACACGAGTCCCCAGCCCAGTTTGCTGTGGTGCTGGTGCAGTCCCAAGCACATCAGTTCTGCCTCGGGCTCAGTCATGACAGCAGTGGTAGCCATGGTGTTCTGAGTAAGAGGACGTTGGAGAACAGTTTCCAGCATTGGGAAGGCATGGAGAAAGGGCATGGGGTGGAGAGAGGGAAGAGGGATGGAGGCTGTTAGAGACAGCAACTGGGCTGAGGCCCAGAGAGGTTGTCTGACCTTCCCTGGCTGCACAGCCAATGAGAGGACAACTGGGCCCTCCCTGGGGCCAGCTTGACCTTCCCCTCCCAACCACGGCTTCCCCACAGCGCTGTGGAATCTGTGTCTCCCAGATCATGAACTCTGCCTCCCACCCCCGCTGACCCCGGGGAATCCTCAGGAAGCTGATGTGGCCCCTCCCCACAGGCTGGCACTGTGGCTGCCCGAGGTGCCAGCTGACCTGCGCTGGATGCGGGACCAGCTGAGAGGTGCAACCCTGGAGGTCTGCAACAGGCTGTGGGCACAGCTCCTGGGGCATGGCAGGTAAGGTTGGCGGAAGGACCCGGAGGGGGACACAGGCTCCGTCCCAGGCCCTGGGTAGGCAGAGATCACCCACCACTCCAGCCTGGTCACCGCCGGGTGCCATGCCTAGGTTGCCAGTCAGACGGCACGCTAGGGCAGGAGGAGAAGCCGATGCCCTCTGGCCATCCCTGCCACAGTTCCAGACATCCCAGTGATATGGGCACCCTGCGTGGTCACCCAGCAGTCCCCTGGCAGGAGGCTCAGCTGCCCACCTCCCCACGGCCCTGCTGGGCACCGGCCTGGAGCCTTGCTGCCCTGCTCTGCAGACAGGACTGGGGAGGGCATGGCTGGGCTGCTTTCCCTCATGATGTCTCTTTCTTGTCACTGAACCACAGACTCTGACCTTGACTCCTCCCTCTGCTCCCTCTGCAGGCTGCCGGTGGTCCCCAGCGTGGTGGACTCCCATCCCCTCCAGCCCCAGGACCTGGCCATGCATCCCAGCTCCACCCAGCAGACCTGTGGGGTGCCAGATAGGGCCAGCCCAGGGACCAGTCTCTCCTGACTGGGCTGGGATGAGTCAGGCCGGCAGCCTGCCCCTGGCTTGTCCAATGGGAGCTTAGAACCTGACACTGACCCTGCAGATGCTCTGGGGGTGCAGGCTGGAGATGGCGCCCTGCCCCCCTGAGAGGCCCCCCCGGGGGGTTATGGTACTTATTCACCCTCTGTGGCTGCTGTCCTTGGGAATTCACGCCTGGAACCTTGCACTTCTTTTGGGAGGAGGCTGGTCCTGTCCAGATGTCCCCACACTACAATGTCCCCAGCTGCAGGCCCCTCCCCCTCCTCCCCGTCTCCTTGGGGGAGAAGGATGGTAGGAGCAAGAGGCAGATGGTCCCTATGCAGGGACACAGAAGGCACTGGGTGGGGGAGGGGTCACCAATCACATCACAGAAACCTGGTCTGGTGCCCGGATGCCCAGAGCAGGGGCACAAGTGGAACAACAGGGTCCCCACGTCCTCTCTGCTCCCCACTGTCCTGCACCGGCCCTGGGGGGCGGCCACCCCATGTCCACCTCTCCTGGCAAGTTTGATCTCTGACTGGGCATCGGGCCTACTGGTGAGCCCACAGGAGACGGAAGGAAAGGGGCCAGGTTTCATTTGTTGGCGTTCCCAGTTGCAAATGCTTCTGCAGGACCTCAGAACTGGCTGCCACCTCTGTGGGTCCCTCATGGCACGGGATCCCCCTCCACAGTGCTCTGGGGCATACTGGCCTCCTCTGGCCTCTCCTGGGAGTCTCTGCTCTTCCTGTCCCCAGAAAAAGCCACCCTGTGCCAGTGCAGAAATGGAAGCATGGGTGAGAGGAGAAGGGACGCAGGAATAAATCTGTGAGCAAGAGTGGGACAGAGTCATTCCTTCACTCGTCATTCATTCATCCATTCAGCTTGGTGTGTGTGTGTGTGTGTGTGTGTGTGTGTGTGTGTGTGTGTGTGTGCTGGCCCTGAGGTTTGGACTCAGGGTCAGAGTGCTCTCTTCACTCATGATGAGAACATTTGTCATTGAGCTGGGAGCTGACAAGAGCTTGAGGTGTGCTGAGTAGTGATACCGGCTGGGGTAAAGGCTCTGTGCCACAGGCAGGGGTGCGGGGGTGCTGGGGTGCAGGGTCCAGATTGGGGCAGGAGAAGCAAGAGATGGATGAAGAGTAAGCATGTGGTGTGTGGGCACAGGGGAGGGACAGCAGTGGAATCGCAGAGGAGTGCCCTTCCTCTGTCCTCCCCTACCTCTTCCCCACCCCCCTGCATCTTGGGCCGCACTTGCTGTCCCATGGATGGGGCAGACGACAGTGGCTCATGTGAATGTCATCTGCTCCCAGCATGCCCAATGCACCGGGGTCGACATGCCCAGGGCCCTGCATGGCACTGTTGAGAAGCACTTTCCTGGTTTCTGACTTACTGAGCTCATACAAGTGGTGGGAAAAATCCCCACAGGCCTCGGCTTGCTCTTCCTGCTGGGGACAGAAAGTGGACATTGGTCCTCCCTGAGAACTCATCTCCCTGGGGACAGCCCCAGCGAGGTGTGTCAACACACAGAACACCTGAGTTGAGCTGGGCAAGTGGCTCAGTGGTACAGTGCTCACCTAGCACGCATGAAGCCCTGGGTTCCATTCCTCAGTACCACATAGACAGAAAAAGCCACAAGTGGCACTGTAGTTCATGCAGTGGAGTGCTAGCCTTGAGCAAAAGTGGCTCAGGGACAGTGTTCAGGCCCTGAGTTCAAGCCCCAGGTCTGGTAAAAACAAAAACAACAAAACAAATTACCAACACCTGAGTTAACAGTGTAAAAGGAAACAATGTAAGGGAGCGGTGTAAGGGAGGACAGAGCTTGTTCATGGCTTCAGGTCCATAGCCAGCAGGCTCGGGTGCTGTGCCTCATGACAGGAGGACAGGGCAGGGAGTGCGCCTCCCCCTCCCACCTCCATTCCATCTGCACCCACTGGCCATTGGACGGTGCTGCCCACATTCAGGGTGGATCTTCCCCTGCAGTGGCTGTCCCACCTGCCAGTCATCTCACAGACACATCCAGCCCTGTTCTCAATTCAGGCAAGTGGCTAGCCAAGGCTCACATCACACCTAGGATGCTGCTAAGTCAAGTCCAGCCCTGCACCCCACCGGGTCCCTCAGGACCCAAGGGGTCCAGTAGTGCCCCTGTATGATGCCCCAGTATCAGATCTAAATCATCATCCCCCACCCCCCTCCATTCACAGCGCTGGCCCTTAGCCAGCAAGGAAGGTTACTACTGAGCCCTCTGCTGGGCATTTTGCATTTTTCAAATAGGACCTCACTGTTTGCCTAGGCCTGCCTAGACCACAATCTTCCTTCCTTCCTTCCTTCCTTCCTTCTTTCCTTCCTCCTTCCTTCCTTCCTTCCTTCCTCTTTCTTTCTTCCTTCCCCTTTCTTCCTTCCCCTTTCTTTCTTTCTTTCTTTCTTTCTTTCTTTTCTTTCTCTTTCTTTCTTTCTTTCTTTCTTTCTTTCTTTCTTTCTTTCTTTCTTTCTTTCTTTCTTTCTTTCTTTCTTTCTTTCTTTCTCTCTTTCTGTTGTAGGGCTTGAACTGGGCCTGGGCGCTGTTCTCAGCTCTTCAGCTCAAGGTGAGTGTTCTACCTCTTGAGCCACAGCGCCACTTCTGGTTTTCTGGTGGTTTATTGGATAAGAGTCTCATGGACTTTCCTACCTGGGCTAGTTTGAACTGTGATCCTCAGATCTCAGCCTCCTAAGTAGCTAGGATTATAGGTGTGAGCCACAGGTGCCAGCTAGACCACAACCTTTCTATGACAGGTACACACCATTACATCCAGCTATTGGTTGAGATGGGGTCTTATGACCTTTAGGCCCAAGCTGGCCTCCATCCGTGATCCTCCCAATCTCAGTCTCCCAAGTGGCCAGGGATGCATGTGTGAGCCACTGACACTGGGCAGTATCTTCCTGAGTTCTCACTGCAGCCTGGGAGGAGGGGCTAGAGCAGGCTGGGGCCAGGCTGGCTACACTACATTTGTGCTGTAGGCAGAGGGACAAGTCTCTGGACCAGCACAGCCTCCCTGGCCTTGTGGTCTTCCTGTCTTTAAAATCGGAGGCTGCGCTGGATGCTTCTAGGGTAGGGGTTGTGGCTCCAACTAGGCCCCAAGCCCACAGAACACACAACCAACACCTCTGGGCAGGGGAGGAGGGGCTGTTCAGGAAGGGTTTCAGGAGGGTTTCCTAGGTGCTAGGATTGGGTGGGAGGGAAACTATGGGGGTGGCCTGTGGTCTATGAAACCCACCAGCAACCTGGAGTTCAGCCAGTCAAAGTCCTCATCTAGGTCACATGACCCGCCACAGGTGACATGGGTGGGGGAGAGGACATGGCCCTGCCTTTTCTAGACCCCCCCAATGCTCAAGATCCTCCTTTTCTTTTTGTGCCAGTCCTGGGGCTTGAACTCAGGACCTTGCACTGTTGACTGACTTTTGTTTTGCTCAAGGCTGGTACTTTAGCATTTGAGCCACACTTCTATTTCTGGCTTTTTACTAATGGAAGATAAGAGTCTCTGGGATTTTTCTGCCCAAGCTGGCTCTCAGCCTCTTGAGTAGCTAGGATTATAGGTGTGAGCCACCGGTGCCTAGCTAGGTAATGTGCCTTGAACTGACCTTGTGTTGGCAGGAGCCTGTAGTTCCTGGACAGCAGTGTCCTCAGGGCCCCCCTATGGGACAGCCACGTGCCTGAGTCTGCACCTTGTGCCCAGCTTGCTGGCAAGAGGTATGTGCCTATTTGGGGCTGGGGTCATGCGATGTGAGCACTGCACTAGGAGTCCCCAAGTGGGTGCCTGCACCCCACAGACACTGTGTACCCCAGGCATAGATCTGATTGTGTGTGCCAAATGGCAATGTTTGGCAAGGTTAGGGAGCGAGCACTGCTTCGAAGGTGTGTTTGTGTATCGGGGACAGACTTTCAGAGAGCCCATGTCTTAGAGGCCCATCCACAATAGGAAAGACTGGCTTTAAAGTCGTCCACACGGCTATAGAGATGGATGGGCATTGATGGTAGTTGGGTCATTGGTGTGGAGAAGTTGCTTGTCATTTTTTCTGATTTTGTGTGTGTAACCAACAAGTATTTAACACTAAGATTAAGTTTAATAGAAAAATACGCCTCAAGAGAGACAACAGACAAAGCAAAACCGAGGGGGAATCGGGCTGTGCTTACAGACACCCCTTGTTCAGGACGATGGAGCCGCAGTCGTTCAGCACCATGGACAGCGGCCAGAGTGTTCCCTGGACTCAGCAGCCCAGGGATTTGAGTGTTGAGCAGGTGAGCGTCCACTCCCTTCCGTGTGTGTGTGTGTGTGTGTGTGTGTGTGTGTCCTTGTTGGCTCTTATAGCTCTCATCATGTAACCAGTGTGGAGGGAAAGACAGGAAGTTCCACACAACCCGGAGAGTGTCCTGTGCCAGTGTCTGTTCCCATTTAACTATACCAAGTGTTAGTCCTCTCCTCCCTCCAGCTCTATATGACTCAGGAGCCAAGAGAAATGAAATCAGGCATCTTTCCTGTTCGGTCATCAAACATAAAACTGTCTTTCTTCCTCAGTCCTGTGAGGTGGACACCCATCGTGAGGGCATGTGGCCTCCATCCTCACCCCTGCGTGGTGGCTGTCCATTGTGAGGGCATGCTGGCCTCTGTCCTCACCCCTGCGTGATGGACGTCCGTCGCGAGGGCATGCTGGCCCCCGTCCAGGGACATTTCAATTGTTTCCAGGTCTTATCTGAGATGCCCACACTGACCCGCTTTGGCCTTGGGGTCCCCCTCACCCACACCGGTGTCCTTTTGACCTGTTCCGATGACTTCGAACGCTTGCTTCTTTGGGGGCTCAACCTCACACTTGAGGCTCATCCTTCTCCCTCTGGAACTGACCTCTTCTCCAACGAACCTCTCCGGTTCCTGGGCTGGCAGAACTTGGAGACGGCCTCTCCAGCAATGGTAACAAACGGGTATTCTCAGTGCCATCAACCCAGGTCAGCCCTCCAGTTCAGCCCCGCGCCGGGTTCTTCCTCCCCTCCTCCCGAGGGAAGAGCGCCTCCTGGCGGACACACCCGCTCCCTGGACGGGAGGCCTGGCCTTCACCCCAGCGGCTGTTCATAACACAATGTCTGTCTGTCAGTCTGTCAGTTTTCTTGTCTGCTTGTGCTTTTAAGCTCTCTATTCCTGGACGCCATCTTCCTGGTCCGGACCTCAGGTGCGGGTGTTCCCGTCCGGGCCTCGCGCTCCGGCCGCCGCGGCAGCTCTCCTCCAGGGAGCTTCCAGCGCCGGCGGGCTGCGGTTGCCTTCTCTGCCGCTTCCTCCCCGATGTGCGGGTAGCGGGGGTCTCCCAGGGCCAGCCCGCCCCCCGCCGCCCGAGGGCGGGGTTACCCCCCTTCCCAGACCCCCGAGACCCCGCCAGGGCGGAGGCGCTCAGTGCACGCGGTCTGGCGAGCGGACGGTGGGGCTCGGGCCAGGCTGCGGTTGTTCCACGCAGATTTCGGGGTGTCCCTCGTCCACGCCACAGCCCGCCTCTACGCGGGCACCGGCCAGATGGCAAGCGGCGAGGGGCCCCCGGCCGGCCTTGCGGGGTGCAGGGCCGGGCCGACGGGCAACCGGGTCTGCAGGACCCGTGCGTGCCGAGCGCCGCGGAAGGA